CCCCAAAACCCCAAAACCCCAAAACCCCAAAACCCCAAAACCCCAAAGAATTTGGAGGAGTTTTATTACAAAAAATAATTTAAATTTGCCCCAAAAATGCCGCAGTTGTATAAAGATACCTACAAGAAAGTCTATAACCACAATTTCTTCTCTGCAGCCAACTTCTGCACCATGGTTATGGTGTTCTTTGTGGTGGTGATGCCCTTTTTCCTTGGGTATTTGTCACAGAACTTTTATAAGAAGTCAGGAATATATTTTGAGATGCCGAAAGTGTCCTTCCTTAAAGAGTTTGCTATCGAGACAGTAGAGGTAACAGCGAGTGCAACTTCTACAAAGTTCTTCACAACTGTTCCTACGTATACGCATAAGAATTACAATACGCTAGCTCCTCCATATTTCTCGTATTATAAAGAGGATCAAGACAATGATGACCATCCAGAGAAATTTGTATTTGATATTAACATCAGAGGAAACCCAGAGAGCTTGACTCTCGCACTTGCGTTCCAGTATGACATTGATGAAATAATCGAATCCAAAATGAAAAATATGGTATATATTAATGTAAATGACCCCAATGGAATCTCTAAGGTAGACGCTTATGGTGTATTTGCACTTGCTCAGAGAAGTCCAAGAAAGAACGAGTATCAAGAATCAGTGATTTACAACTCAAGTCCTTTGGACAAGGTGTTGAATTCCTCTCTGACTCAATTGTACAAAGACTATCTCTCAAGGCAGGAATACTCATATTTCTCAGGAAATACAGTAGTTTCACCATATGGTGACCCAAATATGGTACAGATTCACCTTGAAGTGAGTATTCCAAAGCTACAGGAGATCAGGTATACTCCTGCTTTGCTAGAATCTCTGAAGTCAGCCTGGGTACAGTACATATACATCCTAATTCCCTTCTATATCGTGCTGATATTGCTAATTCTTCGTTTTATACTGAGTAACCAGATCATTGAGACTCATATCTTCAACAACTTGCCTACTAAGAAGGATCTGAGATGGTACAGGAAGTTCAGAGAGCTCATGCCTAACCAAGGACAATAATTTGAATATTAAGATAATTGCTAGAATTTCAACTAAATGATGGAATATGGGGTTTTGGGGTTTTGGGGTTTTGGGGTTTTGGGG